GTTTAGGGTTTAGGGTTTAGGGTTTACTTGGCTGAATACGAGCAGCGCAGCAACACCCACGAGGAGAAGACAACGACAACGAATGAAGTGCAGCAGAGGGGGCCCCTCACCAAAACCCTTGAGGGCCCCTTTCTTAAGGGCCTCTTCAATATCAAAGCCTGGGGCCCCTGGGGGCCCCGCGGGGGGCCCCTGGGTACTATCCAGGGCCCCTTGGGGCCCCACATCCGCAGCTGCTTCTCCTGCGGGGTCCCCTTGGGGGCCCCCCTGGGGGCCCCCCTGGGGGCCCCCTTGGGGGGCCCCTTGGGGGCCGTTGGCTTGAGTTAGGGTTTTGAGGTAAGGGAGGTGGAGAGCCGCCCAGCCGCGAGTGAAGACAGAACGCCAGCGGCAGCGGCGTACCCAGAAGCATAGATCGCAGAACTGGGCGAGTTCTGAACAAAAACCCTAAACCCTAAACCCTAAACCCTAGATGGTAAGTTCTAGGAGGAAGAAGGGGACAGGCGTTCGAGGCGGCTGAATTTAAGGGTTTAAGGTTTGATGGTTTGAGCGTAGGCATTTGCTGCTTCAGCTTTCAGTCTCTAAGCTTAAGGGTTTAGGGTTTAGGGTTTAGGGTTTAGGGTTTAGGATTACCTTGGTTAACTTGGTTGCTTTGTTCAGGGGTGAAAGAGCCTGAAGCCAAGGCAGACTCCACCGCCTGCTGCAGCGCATGCAGGGCCCTATGGAGGCCCCAGAGGGAGCGCGAGGGCCCCAGCAGCTCGGCCTCTACCCGCCAGAATGCCTCCCCCAGGCCACCCCGCATCCTGAAACCCTAAACCCTAAACCCTAAGCCCTAGAGGACTCTAAACCCGGAACCCGGTGAGGAGGGGCCGTAAACCCTAAACCCTAAACAACAAACAATAAACGCTAAACCCTAAACCCTCAAATACAACTCTCACGAGAAAGAAGAGCTGCAACAGTATGTAGAAGGACAGACAACTTGCGCCGAGTGAGACTGAGGGTTTAGGGTTTAGTAGGGTTTAGGGTTTAGGGTTTACGGGGGGATATAAGGCATGGAACACAACTCGCCTCAGCAGAGATAAATAAAAACAATCGTCGAAATATTAAGTGAAATCAATTAAAAATATATAAACGCAAAAATATAAACATTTCAGGGCCTCGGGCCCCCTGGGGGCCCCACAGCCGCCTACGACATTGAACCCTAGGGTTTAGGGTTTAGGGTTTAGGGTTTTGAGGGAGGTTTCTCGCCGTCTTATTTAATATAATTTTTTTTATTTTCTTTTTTATATTATTTATTTTGTTTATTCAGTCCAAACAATTAC